GGTGGGTGGGCTCTTCTGCAGAGCTGGCTGGGTCCCAGGGAAGAACTTCCCGGCCTGCAGCAGCCTGACTGGTGGGTCTGGGCCCCGGGGGTGCGGCGTTGGGTAACCAGCCTGCTCTCTAGGGCAGACAGGAGGAGGGCGACGTGGTGGAGAAGCTGAGCCTCTTCCTAGACCTGCTCCAGGCCTACAAGGTGAGTCCTGCTGGACTGGGCTGGGCAGAGCCCTTGAGAGGGAGCCATGCTCCATCCAGGGCAGCGAGAGTCGGGAAGCTGGGCGTGGGGGCAGATGCCCTGGGCAGTCTCTGCGCTGTGGCCCCTGGAGGTGTCCACGGACCTCTGGCTTCCCCAGTCTGAGAGCGGAGGGGTGTGTGTACACGTATGTGCGTGTGAATCTGTGTGTGATTAGGTGTTGGTGTGTATGTGAATCTGAGTGTGGGCATGCACGCGTGTGTGATTAGGGTGTGAATCTGTGTGTGATTAGTGTGTGAATCTGAGTGTGTGTGTGAATCTGAGTGTGTGTGTGAATCTGAGTGTGTGATTAGGGGTGTGTGTGAGTCTGAGTGTGTGTGTGCGTGTATGTGGGATTAGGTGTTGGTGGGCATGTGTGGCTCCTGTTTCCCACACGCCTTCCGATCGGGGGGACTTAGGCCCTGGGGACACGCCGGTGTACCTCCCCGCTGCTGGCTGGACACAGGCTTCTGGAGATGGGCAGCGTGCCCGTCCGCCCCGGTGGCCCAGCTCGCGCTGTCCATGCTGCGCGTTTCACGGGGGTGTGGTTTGTGGTTCCGCTGGGCCCTCACCGAGCTGCTGTTCCGTGAACGCTCACCGAGCGTGGAGCGAGCGGGGGTGAGCTGTTGGTGAGAGGGAGCGTCGTTCTTGGGAACCCTCCCACCGACGTGAGCAGCGCCGACTGGGCGGGACCCGCGCGCCCTCCGGCCTGCCCGGCCTCCGGCAGCGGCCCGCTCTGGCTCTCCCCAGGACCTGTGCGAGCGGCACGAGAAGGGCGTGCTGCACAAGCACCAGCGGGCCCTGCACAAGTACAGCCTGATGAGGCGGCAGATGAGCGCCGCCCACGGCCAGGAGCCCGCGTCCGTGGAGCAGCTGGAGTCCCGCATCATGGAGGTGCCCCGGGCGTGGGGGGCCGGGGGGGATGCAGGCGGGGGCGGGAGCCTGGGCCTGCCTCTGCTGGACCCCGGAGCCCTCGGTGGGTCTCTGGCCCTCTGGACACCAGGCTGGGCCCTGTGGGGGAAGGGGCGGGGCCCGGGCGTGAGGGCCAGAGCGTCCGCTGGGCCCCGAGCAAGGGAGGCTCTTTGCTCCGCAGCAGGAAGACGCCATCCAGACAATGGAGCTGCGCAACTACTTCTCCCTGTACTGCCTGCACCAGGAGATGCAGCTGGTCCACGTGTACCTGCCCCTCACCTCCCATATCCTCGGGGCCTTCGTCAACTCCCAGATCCAAGGGCACAAGGAGGTGGGCTCCCTGTGTGACTGAGGGGTGTGTGGGAGGCCAGAGCGAGAGTACAGGAGCAGTTTCTCACCTTCTGGAGGACCCCGGGAGTCAGGTGAAGCATGCAGAGCCCCAAGAACTGAGAGAAGAGACCGTGGGAGTCGGGGGGGAGGCCACTGGAGCAGGGGAATCAAAGCTGCTCAGCCTCCTCCCGCTGGTGGTCCTCTGCCTGTGGGGAGAAACGCTGTTGTCCCGAGACGAGGAAGCTGCAGCTGTACTTACTGGACCCACTCACCTGGAGCCATCAACCCCTAGCTCCCGCCCTTGGCCATGGCTCACCCTTCCCAACAGCAACACGTGTGTCCCTCTCCAAGTGGCCTCAGGTCCTTGTCTGTCCAGGAATTGGCCTTGTGCTGTCCCACAGCCCTGCTCCTGGTGCACCTGCCCTGGGTCACTGGGGGCACAGTCACCTGAGGGGGCATCTGCTGTGGCCACCTCCTGCTCCTTGGCACGGCTCAGGGGTCTCAGGCTCAGAATTTCTAGAACGTTGACTCAGATCCCAGCTCTGCGGCTGTTGTGAACTCTCACAGCCTTGGTTGGGTCAGTAACGTCCGTGGCCTGGTTTCCTTACCTGAACTGGGACATAAAATACAGCGGCCTGAGGGTTCAGCGGGAGCTGGGCTGCAGGTAGCCACCTGGTCTGTGGCTGTGCTGGGCACACAGCTGGACTCAGCTGGCCCTGTCACCAGGGACCACAGAGACTAGTGAGAGATCCAGGGAGGAAGGGGCTTGTCACTCGTGGAGGCCTGTGCAGGGTGGGGCAGGGCAGGGAGCCATAGAATGAACTCAGACTCAGAGTTCACAAAGGTCGTTGGCCACAGCTTGGAGGGTGGGTTAGGATGGAGAACTGTCAGAAGATGGAGATTCTCCATCCAGCCCGGAGGCGACTGACCAGGCCAGCGGACAACCGAGACCCCAGTCTAGAACCACTCGTATCAGAACCGCCTCGAAAGTTTGTGCAGCAGGCAGATCGTGGGTACAGATCCTGCCACGGCCCTGACTGCTGTCTCGGGGCCAGGACTCGGGAAACTGTGCTGTTAGTGGGACACCAGGTGACTCTGGGATGGGAGGACTCTAGGGGAGACCGGGGGAGTCTGGGGTAGAACCCTAGGGGACAGCACCTGGGTCAGGCTGTTGGGACCCCGATCCTAGATTTTTCTATTGTAGGTGACTAATCCCTGATCTTGTGACATGGAGACTAGACTGCTCCATCTGCATGTCCCCAGGGCCACGCTCTGTATCTCTGTTGTCACATGAGGCACTCTGCCACCAATACTGGTTTTGGACACCCGCCCATGGCCAGAGCCGTCCCGCTCCTTGTGCCCACGTGTCCCTGTCTCAGCCTGGACACTGCATGGCTCAGTGGGCGGGGCGGCGGGTCCTCTTTCTGCCATGTTTCGCTCGCTGGTGTGGTTGTTGGCGGAGGTTGGCCTGGTGTCTGACTTGCTAGCCAGAGGCCAGCGCTTGCAGGGCTGTTAGAGAGAATGCTGGAGATCATAGTGTTTCTTAAAATTTTGTGTCCAGCTGACTTGTGTCCCTTTGGTCCTGCATGCAGGGACGTGGACTAGCCATCTGTTACCTCTGGTTTCCGGCCCCCTCTCAATTTGGGCTTTGTCTCTGGAGGGATGGGTCACGATGCAGGGAGTGGGAAGGGCACCTTTGGGGCAGGTGACACATGCCTGGTGGTGGCATGTCCCCTTCTGCCTCAGACACTAGGCGGGCTGTCTGGTGTCCCATGAAGAGCTATGAGTGGGGCTGCGCCCGCCGGCTGACCCTGTGCTCTCCCCGCAGATGAGCAAGGTGTGGAAGGACCTGAGGCCCAAGCTGCACTGCCTCTTCGCGGGACCCTCCAGCGCCTGACCCCGCCGTGGTCCCCGAGGGACAGCCTGTCTCACTAGTGCCAGAGGACCCGGCACCCCCACTAAAACTTCTTTCCAAACGGTGTGTCCCTGTTTAATTCCATTCAGATGGCGGCTGTCCCCCATGTCCCACTGGCTGCCACTCTTCGGGCAGAAGAGCTGACATCAGAGCTGGTGGGGCCAGGATCCAGGTGCCGTGGCTCCCCTGCCCTCGTGGGAGCAGAGCTGAGGACACGCCCCCAGGTCTCTAAGCATCCACAGAAGCTGAGGCCACGTGGGGTCTGCTGCAGTTGTCCCCAACCCCAGCACTGTGGTCTGTTGGTCTGGTGGTGTGAAGTGTTATGTCCTGGAATGGTTTTTCTCCCGGCACTCAGAGGGTGGGTGGCAAGGACGTTCTCCCAGATGGTGCCTGGGGTGTGTGCAGGGACCTCGAGTGCAGGGACCCCGTGTGCAGGGACCTCAAGAGCGGGGACTCTGTGTGTGGGGACCCCGTGAGTGGAACAGTGGGAAGGGCTGCATTAGCTGAGCAGGGAGGAGGCGGCTGAAACCCTGCAGAGGGCAGGACCACCCCTGTAGCCAGCATGCCGTGTTGGTCAGTGAGGGGCAGCCCGGCTGCTGAGGCCAGCAGGTAGTCCTTGGGGGTGTGTGTGGGGTGGCCGTGTGAGCTTCGGAGCCACAGCAGGAGCCAGAAGGGGAGGCGGCACTATTGTTGGGCGCTCAGACTTCATTTCTAGGGGACAGACCAGACCAGCGAGCAGTCCCAGTCTGGGACTGGCGTGCGACAGTGTCCTGTGTCCCTCCGTACATGCATGTGCATGTCACTCTGTGACTGTGTGCTGTGGTCTGTGGTGTGGAAGGCCAGGTGGCCTGGTGCTTGGCCGTCTGGGTGCTGGGAGCTGCTCTGTCCTTCCCGTTTTGGTGCATGAGGCTGGAAGGGCGAGGAGGGGAGGGCAGTGGGGTGTTGTCTGGCAGGGGCTGTGGACCAGGGGTCTCTTGCTCTGGTTACCCTTTCAAACCAACCTCATTTCCATGGGTGAGTAGAGCCCTCTCAGCCTCCTGCTCTTGCTGGCCCAGCCACCTGCTTCCAGGGTCTGAGGGGACTGGTGTCTTGCAGCTCTGGGGGTGGGGTGGGTGCTTCCTGAGCCCCATCCGTGTGAACAAGCAGCAGACAGGGCCCCTTGAGGAACAGGTGCTAGAGGGTCTGACTGCAACGTAGGGTCGCGGGGAGCCCGCCTCCCAGGGCTGCTGCCTGACTCAGGGTTGTCTGATGTCGTCTGACTTCCAAGCCCGTGTGTCACCTGGGGACACGCAAGACCCTGACCTGGAGGTGGAGGCTCTAGGGTACCTGCAGCCAGACAGGCTAGCGCATCACCTTCCGGGGGAAGTGTCACTGGGGCACACCCTTCCCTGGGCTCTTTGTGGAAGCAGCTGTGCAGGGAGAAGGCTGCTGAGCTGCCCCAGCCCGATGCCCTGCTGCAGCCAACGTGCCTTCCTGGGTTGAGCTGGGCATTGTACTCCCAGGGCCTGGCAGGTGGGGGCTGTTCTTGCTTTTTGGTCTCCCTCTTTGGAAACGGGTTCTCAACCGCGTCGAGCAGCCTTGTGCTGCCCCTCCAGGCACTTCTGCACACTTGACCATGAAGTATGACTGCCAGGCCTTTTCTGTCCTGTCCTTCAGCAGCTGCTGCTCACTCACCTGGGGCCTGTCGTGGGCGACGGGGGACAGTAACCACCATATAGGCAGTGGAGAGTCACACAGATCCCCAGCCAGGCCTGGGGCTGCAGCAGGAAGGGGGTGACAGGGAGCATCTCCCAGGGCAAGCTCAGGCTCTCCCTGCACAGGTCACTAGGCTTGGGGTGGCGGGAGGGAGGGGGGCCTGCATGCCTCTGCGCCCTCCTGCTGCCTGAGCTGTCCTTGCTGTCCCTGGGAGCTGAGGTGCCACCACAGCCTCACCTCGCCCAGTAATGGGAACCCCAGTTGCAATGCCCCATTGCACCCTTCCTGCCACACAGGGAGGAGTCACTGCTCCTGCTCGTGCTCCAGAAAGGCGAGTGACAGCACCACTGGCTCAGCCTGGCCCGTGGTTGGTCCCTCCCGCCTGCGCCCAGCTCACGCAGCGGTAACCAAAGACACAGAGCCTGTGGGGCCTGTGGGACTCGGCTGGCGCTGTCCGGGTGGGTCTGCATCTGAGGCCTTTCCTCCTCAAGTCAGTTTTGTGTGTGAAGCACTTTAGCGGGCTGCCCGAATCAGTGACGGCCACACCGAGTAAACTGGAATTGTTTATAGATGGTCCACATTCTGAGGTTTTCGTCAATAAACTAACATGAACAACAATTAAACATATTTATAAAAGTTAGGTGAAGTCATGAGTTCTCTGTGTAAGTGAGTGGGTCCCACCTTCTTGCTCAGACATTGGGAGAACGGCCCCATCCTCGTGGGCTAGGGGAGGCAGCCAGTCTGCGATGCATTAGACCAGGGTTTTGGCCTTGGGCCCTGACTGTCCCTTGAATCACAAGGCTGGTGACCTGCCTGTTGGTTCACCTCCGTGATCCCAACAAGAGCTAGTGGTACTGAGCAAGTCAGTGCCCAGCCCCTCCACCAGCAGCCACGATGAGACTGTCACTGAAGCTGCCCCCTTGACCCTGCCGGCTTGTAGCTCCCTCTCCTGTTTGCCCCGTAATGCGGGTCACAGCCCAGCATGTCTGGTGCCTTCCTGCGGGCGCGCAGCTGAGGAATGTTGAAAAGTGAAAAACATTTATTTTTCTTCCCATCCAATCACATTCCAAATACAAAACCCAGGCGGGGCTCACCTGGTGGGCCCACAGCACAGCTGGGTGGCCGGCGGCAGGTGTCGCAGCCCAGGGGCCGGGCAATGCTGTCTCTACACTGTGTCCACCTCGCACAACTTGTAGTCCAGGATGGTGTCCTGGCCCTGGAACTTGAAGTACCCATGGAATTTCTTCTTCTTAAGCAGGAGGGGGAACCAGTAGCTGTCATCCGGCCACATGTCAGCGAAGGGGATTTGGTCCAGGGGGAACCACTGGGGCCGCATTTCTGTAGGGGGTGGAAAGAGCATGGATTTCAGCCCAGATTGAAACTGACCTTTCTTTCCTGAGGCGCCTGCCAAGTGGTACTGCCAGGAGCTTTCGCATCAAGTCCTCATGATGCTGTTTCAGTTCAGAGTAGGAAGGGGTCAGGGCGGGTGTTGGTGCCCCCTGGTGCCGCCTCCTTGGCGGAGAGCAGGGGGCAGGCTGCCAGGTGCACGTGTGGAGACTCACCATCGCTCTCCGTGGGCGTCCCCCGGATGCTGTCTGTGCAGAAGATGTGCACGTCCATCAGCTCAGGCTCACCCGCGAACTCAAACAGGATGTGGCCCGTCTTGTGCAGCGTGTCCACGGTCACGCCACACTCCTCCTGCAGCTCCCTGTGAGCAGACAGACAGGAAGAGGGCAGGAGCTACAGCAAGGTGCCCACATCCACGCAGAGCCCGGAGCAAGGTGCTGGGAAGACCAAGAGTGGAGTATTTGCACGGAGGGCCAGGAAGCCAGAGAAACAAGCTGGGCGAGCTCAGTGTCTTCACTCTCATGGGAAGATGACAGAGCTGCACCCCCCCACCTGTCCACAGCTCCTGCTCTCCCGTGGGCTGCAGGCTGCGGAAACCTGGGTCCTAAACCGAAGGCTTTCCACATGAAGAATCATCCTTCCTCACCCCCACTGAGAGCACAGGCGCACACGGCAGGTGCCAACTGCCTTAACCTCTGTTCCTGCCAGAAGACCCCCTCACCCCTCCAGCCACCTGTTCGCGCTTGATCAAGGCGTGGAGCTTTGTGCCTCTCTCCACTCCCCCCCTGCTGGCCTGTTCTCAGGGCTGCTGTGCTCGGAGGGGGTCAGGGTAAGTCTCAGCGCCAGCACAGCCAGGATGCCCCAACCACGTCAGTGCAGTCGCCTATTTAAAAATATTTCCAGTTGCATGCTGACTGCACAGTCTTGCAAGCAGTCCAGATTCCTCACCCAGGAGGAGCCTTGCTACCACTTCACTGTTTTTCTCTGGGTGTTTCTCTTTTGAACACCCTGCAAAAAAGCTGTAAACGCATCATACTCTGTACCCTCGCCTTTCACACAGAGCGACACTGCACATCGATGGATTCAACCGGTTGGTTTCTCAAGGCTGTTAAAGTAACACAGAGTTTTAACTTGCTCATCATGAAGCCCCTGCCTTGAGCATGGATACACCCGGTACCACCGATTTCTCACTCTGACAAGTGCTTTCTGGAAGACCTGTGCTGGGGACTCTGGGGACCCAAGGTGCTGCAACCCTGAAACTTGTAGTCTGTTTCTCTGTTTAGAGACTCTCACTTCCCCACTGCCCTATAATTAATGCTGTTTCTATAAAAATGTCCTGATTACGTATGCCATTTATAGCTGTATGTAAAAAGTTTCTGGCCCAGCCGGTGTTGCTCAGTGGATGAGTGTCAACCCATGAACCAGGAGCACCAGGTTCGAGTCAGTCAGGGCACATGCCGGGCTGTGGGCTCGAGCCCCAGCAGGGTGTGCAGGAGGCAGCCAGCCAATCGATGCTGATGTCAGTGTTTCTATCTCTTCTCCCTTTCTCTCTCTAAAACAATAAAAACATTAAAAAAAAAAAGTTTCTTTAGCTCAGCTCTCCAGGTGGTCCTAGGAGCATGATACAGTTACTTCCTGTGCTTGTAAGGAGAGGGGACTCAGGGAAAACATCAAACACACACACATTGGGTTAAAATGGTCTAATTTTGGTGGATCCACCCTGACCTTCCTGGAAGTCATTTCAACTGTACTTTGTTAGCTGAGGTGGTTAATGAAAATTAGACTCACCTAAAACCCCCGAATGTGTGTGTTGACTTAGGGGTGCACATGGCTACCCAGTTAAAGTAATAAGCTCAGGGGGGCCCCACCCCTCTCAGCAGCAGGCTGGTGGATCTCACCTTTGAAACCTTCATGTCCCGAGTCAACGTTCTGACTAACTTCACCCTGAGTACACGGCAGTGTGAGACGTGAGTACCCCTCATTGGCAGAGCTACTGCTGCACGTCGCCGGCCGGGTGACTCGACGGGGATGATACTGCTGCCCTTTGCAACGTGCCTGGTCTCGCCTGCGATGCTGCCCCTGAGGGCCATCGAGCGCACAACACTGAGCAGTCATGTGCCTCGAGGGTGGGGGACCCTGGTGCAGCTGGGATCCCTGCAGCTACTCCTCCAAGACCGCCTCCCGGAGTTCTCTGAACACAGTGCTCTGCACCCTTGCCGCGTCGGGAGCCATCAGGGATGCTGGCCAGAAAGATGGGCTCGCGCTCCCCCCTACAGCCCAAATGGACACTCTGAGGGTCCCCAGCCCCCCAAGAGAATGCATCATTCTTGAAGCTCAGGTGGCCCCCCTGCCCTGGGGATGCTGGCACATTCTGGAAGGGATCACACTCCCACACACCACCCTGAGTCTGCAGGTGAGTGAGGCTCTTGAACTACGGCTGCTTTGGGACCCAAAAGGGCAGCTCAGTGGATAAAGCCGGCGCCAGACTCACTACCAAGGCATTTGCAGGTTATAAGCTGGGGCGATGGCAGTCATCCCCAAGGCCCTGCTGCTGGGGCCCTGGGACCCATCTCAGCCTGCATTAGAATGCACCATCAGGCCTGCTCCTCTCACCCCGCAGGGGCAGGGGCTCAACAGTCCTTCGTGGAAGGTGTTCTGACCCTTAGCTCCACCCCCCACACTCTACACTCCAGCTGGTACCCCAGTGCCCTTGGGAGAGGAGACGGGGGTCCTGGAGAGAGCTCCTCAGAGCTGACCTGATGGCCCTGGAGCGAGCATGGTGCCACGCGGTCCCCACGTCTACTGGTCTAAACCAGGCAGGCAATCTGTGACCCAGGAGGCTGACCTTCTGACCTTGGTCTCAGCGTGAGGCCTGTCCCTGCATTCATGAAGAACGCCTGGCCCTTGAGCTCACAGCTTCTGAGCATGGGAACCACTAGTGTGCTGTGGCCACACAGCGGAAAGGTGTTTTCCAGGGGTAGCCTGCTGCCTGCAGGGGCAGGGGACACCCTTGTGGATGCCCAGGTATCAAAAAGGAGGTCCTTCCACAGCTCCACCTGCTGGATGAGGCCCCAAAGTACAAAGACTAGTGAACCTCTAAGCGATTTTCAACCATCTCATGACATGTAAACTAATTACTAAAAACCTGTGGCACACCAAAAAAACACACACTTTTTGCCTATCTCATAAAAAAATAGGTGTAATTTTGATTCACAGTGACAACTATTATTGTGTTGGCTGTTGTCACTTTTTATTTGACCACCTAAGGGAAAAGAGGTCAGTGCCCCTGACTAAATAGTCAGGTACTGTATATTTAAAAATTCTTGCGGCTCACTGGCTGAAAAATCACTGCTTGAAGAGGGCATTTGAAACCTTTATCATAAAGCTGTGACTAAGTCTGAACAAAACGTTGTGGATTTTACGAGGGATCCATGATCTGTAGTGAGGTCAGGACAGAGGTGAGGAATGAAGTCATGGACCATGGGGCTGTGGCTCAGTGGCCTCTGATGGTCCAGTGAATGAGTGGAGGGCCAGCACAGCAGAACTACTGGAAAGCCCAAGCTGGAAAGGAGCCCCGTGCTGGCCACAGATGCAGGAGCTGCAGGGTGTTTGTAACTGGAACCCTGAACAGCAGCAAGACAGTGGACCACTGCTCACGTGGACAGAACGTCAGGAAGAACCCAGACACAAAGGAATATGAGTGATGCTACTTACAGGGTGTTTTTGGATGGGCCAACATCATTCACTGTGACAGAAGTAGGGGTGCAGGCCGCCCTTTGGAGGGCAAGGTCCAGTTCTTAAACACCCTCTGATGAAGATCTGCACTTTCCTATATACACACTGTACTTCAACTCAAACTTGACTTTATAAAGTATCTTAGTCTTGGCCTCATGGAGCACCTTTGGGGGAAGGGCAGACGACTAACAGAATGACTAGAAAGGGTGAGAGTGCTGTGAAGGAAACACACAGGATGAGACTTATTGAGAAATACCAGGAGGGGGGCCTTCTTAGGTGTGAAGGCCGAGGAGGGGTCAGCCAAAAGAGCCAGGAAGAGTGGTGGTGGGAAGGGTGACAGCTTGGGGTGTCCTAGGGGTGGAAAGCCAGTCAAGGGTGAGGGGGACAGAGGTGGGAGGCTGACCAGGCCTGGGTAGAAAGAGGAAGCCTGGACTTCTCAGGCCAAGCCACAAGCACAACAGCTTCCCAGACATGTCCTGAAAACCACGACCAGCTCAGCAGCGGCTAAGGGGCACCCGGCGCTCAGCACTGCCCAGGTCCTTCATGTGCATGGTCTCAGTCTTCACAGCGGTCCTAAGGGGTAGGGGCTGGTATCTTTTTAGGTTTATTAAAGGTGTTGTTGGGGAGAGAGAAACGTATCGGTTGCCTCCTGTACGTGCCCTGAGCAGGGGCTGAACCCGAGACCTGGGCACGTGCCTCGGCCGGGAATCGGATTCAGGGGCGGGAGGGCGCCTCTGCCAGCTGCGCCGACCGGGCCTGTCGTTCCCACCGCGGACGAAGAGCTGGAGGCTCAAGGGTCAGGCCCCTGCTCCAGGTCCCCGGCTCGCGGCGGGGAAGCNCCCCCGCCCTGCCTCACCTCTTGGCGCCGTCCTCGACGGTCTCCCCTTCTTGGACTTTGCCTCCGAAGCCATTCCACCTGCCGGCGCCGAAGCCCCGCTTCTTCATGCCCAGCAGGACCCGCTGGGGCTGCAGCACCATCACCAGGGTGTAGAGCCTGGAGGCGCCCATGGTCCCCTGGGCGCCACGAG